TATTACCCATTGGCAAAAGATGTATGCATATTATATGTACACACACACACGGAAACACACACGTACACTCGTATCTAGAAGAATTATTCGTATATCCGAAATATATATAAGAGACAAATGCAGCAAATAGATTAAACATCAAATTCCAGAGTACGGTTTTCGTGTTAGCAAAACGTTAGGTCAAAGCATTAACAACCTACCAGACAGATATACGAAAAAAATAAATTTATAAAAAAATAATTAAAGAAATAAAGTATAATCACGCGAAAGTATACCATAGGCTCACCATAGAAGCGTGCAAAATATATGAAAATGTATCACGAAAAATGTAACGCCAATAAATTATTTCCACCATATAATTCTCGACAAAAAAGATTATCCTGCGTACTTGTAATAATCATGATAATAATAACGAAGTTAACAAAAGTTAAAGAGATATCTTAAACATAACAGGTAATAAGAATAATAACATAGTCATAATAGCATTAATAGGCAACAATATAATAATAATCGTAATAATAACGCTAGTAATATATAAGTGGGTTTAACCATAATATTAACCATTATAATTATAATAAACATATTCTTGCAATTGCATAAGAGATAACTCGCTACGAACACAGAGTCTGGTCATGCAAATAATGGCCCGGGAGAAGGGGGATCGTTGCTTGGGTGATCATCGGTGTTACTCGAAAAGTCGGCCAAATACCAAGGTGTGATTAAATGATCGAATCTCTGTCTCTCGCGACGGAGTGATGACGACGACGAGCGCGGCCGTGTATCAGCAATGATAATACAGTGTCATCACCCAAGCGTTAATGTGCTGCCAAAAGCCAACCTCACCGTCGATCTGGTTCGCGTGCGTGAATTACAGGACTGAAACACACACATCCACTCACTACTGAAGCTACGGAAGAAAAGAGTCCTCCGGGTGATCCACGCTAGCGAACCAAAGTGACAAGAGCGGCTGCAGTGGCGAGAAGGGGGGGGGGGGAGATTGGATAATCAGCGGTTATCGGCAATATCGTATAATATGGATGTGGGATGTCGTAAGCCGTCAAATTAATAATATTCTACTGCAAATAAGTTCAACACACTATGTCAACTGCGACTCCGCAACCATAACGACAGAGCTAGCCAAAAAATATGGGTAAGAAACTATTGTTCGATAGAGATGCGCAGCGATCGGGTAGGTCCGATCAGTTTTCCGTGCGCAGGGAAAGCTTTGTCATAATGGAAAATGATTACTGGTTTCGAATAACGGTCAGACGTAAAGCTCGCACGCGCTTCTTTATTCCATGCCCATGTATACTATTTTCTGTGCCTCACAGTCGGAAGTTAATTGCGTCGAAAGCAATCAGTGTGCAAGCGTAATAGACACGTTTTTTGACCAAGTAAGCGGAAATGAGCGATTCAACTGAAAGCTGCGTGTATTTCTGTTCTAATTGTAAGTCATGACAAAGATTTTAATCTCTCAAATCGATCGAGATCGATCTTTAAAGGCAATATCCGTCCTTTACACAAATTCTCTTCACATCGGTTCGTTTCGATTCTTTGCATAACTTTTCGCGGCTATATGCTAATTCGGAAGGCAAGAGCACATACACATTACTCGTAAACATCCTAAATGGAAGAGTAGTGTTATACGTCAATGTCCCGTCAATGTTCCGTCGCAAAAGTCAGCCCTTTGGATCTACATGTCGTAAATCACGCCATTGTCATTGCCCAATGAAAATGCAGACAGCTCCGACAAAATAATCTGCCAATTTCTTCCAAATTCGGAACATTTTGATACATCAAATAATTATAAAGTCGGCGAACTTTTGTGCACACGTGCGACACATTTTAATTTCGCGGACATTGCGGAAAATATTACGAATTTCGTGTGTATATCATCGCGATGCATGCGATACTGACCGGAAGATACGAGTTATCTTATAACTGTACCCTTTAAAAACAAAAGATGGATCATAATTGCTAATGCTCTTGTTTAATGTGACTGGCTTAAGCTGGGTTGTTCCACCTTTCGATAAACTTCAGCTTACTGTCTTACTTTCTTATTCTCTTATGCTCTTTTTTCTGTTTTGTTTATCCAATATGTAAATTATCACATAGTTTATCTGAAGATGGAACAACCAGTTCTTAGTTGGACAATTTTTACTCTGAAACAATAAGAATGCTTGATATTAAAATTGAAGTGTAGACTTTTCACAATCCTCTTAAAAATCTCTTGACACAAGAAGATGTGATATGTGTATAAATATGAATTATTTTATAGTATTATTGTTTTAATTATTGTGTACAATATATTTCATATTGCAAAATAATTTGCAGAACACGTATATAAAGTAATCACGATTCTTAGTTTAAAAAAAAAATATCAGGAAATAAATTTAATTTTTTTAATAGATTTATTATGACTTAACACTTTTTCGTCCAACTTTTAGGTACTTTGAACATCGAACGAAAACAAATGTTTAATATATCGCTGAAATAAATATCATCCAACTGTGCAAAGCAATTTAGAAAAAAAGTGTGTTTAACAAGATTAGCCAAAAAATTCATAATTCCCACATATCGTTGACAAGTTTGTGTAGAACTCAGAATGTATTGCATGCCCTCTGGTTTCTCGATATACACGCGCTCCCTGAAGTTTTGTAATATTAATGAGCATGCAGTATACACGGCGCGCGCGCGCGCCCGATAGAGACACGTAACAGCTGTCCATAACGTAATTGCTACTTGCGGTAAGATGCACTGCGAGAGAAAAAATAAACAAATAGATATTGAAGCGTACAAGGATGGAAGTTGCTCTTAGACGTAGCATATTAGATTCAGTCGTAACGAATACAAAGAAATGTTTAAAAGACATCCCGACAATATCCTCATCCACAAATAACGCGCAACGTTAATCAGACAAGCGGTTCAAGACAATGGCATGATAGATATATAATAATATGTATATGTATAATATATAGATACATGGCAAACCGTTTAATGGCAAAAGTACTAATCATACTAATTACTGTATAAGAAGCGTGCATCTCTTTCTTCGTGAATAGGTACGTTCGTGTGTGCACGTTGTTTACATGTATGAGTGTGTATGTCTGTCTGTATGTTTATGTGAGGGGGGGGGGGCGGATCAAAAGGGGACAGAGGTGACGACAACGCTTTCGAAATAGCATAATAATAATTATTGGTATAATAATAATAGACAAACACCAGATAAGGCAGTGGTTATTCGCAGTTATAGTTGCGGTGAGCAGTCGTGAGGGAGATGCCCCCGAAAGCTACGTGTTAGCCAAGGTTACCGAGAGATGCGGATTATAACGTTTCGCTCTTCGAACTAAAAAAAAAGTGTAAACGTCAAGTTTCCTGCTGCCCAAGCAGTACACGAGTAAAAGAAAAGCTGTTCGTTTATCGAGCGATATCCGCGATAACATCCTTTTCCCTCGTAACCTTGAAGGTTAGCAGCAATTAAAGTTCGAGCTTGCATCAGAGCGCGTATTATCCATATTTTTCAAATCCGAAGAACACCCCACAAGATCGATCTAGACAGAAGGAGACGAACGTTGTAACGCCACGTACGAAATTCATCGTTCGCGCAATGTTATGCAGAACAATGCGTAAACGAGGAAAGATTCCCTGAAGATTCGAATAGGTGAAAAATTCCATTTGTGTCTTCACTATTACGATCTTCAGGGATCGTTGCATGCCGAGCAGAGGAGTCAGCATGACGAGTACGCACATGCACGCTAAAACTTCTCTCATTGCCCGAATATCGGCGCTTATGATGCAAATTCGAGACCGGATAAAAAACTGGTTACAATAATGAGTCTACCTGTCCGCAGCTGTCTGTGTAGACGACACAGTGAGCGTTTTGAGGGACCGTTTGGGCCCCGACAGTGGCTAAGGCTGCTAAGGCGATCCACATGCAGCAAACGAGGCAGTGTTCGTACGGTATATTTTTTTCAAGTATCGGTAGTTTTTTTTGGTGGTCATTCATTACCACACAGTCGGTTGAATTCGGTGGAGAAGGCACCAGATCAAAGGAGACACGCGTGGAGCGTGTCCTCGGAGCATCCAGGTACATGTACGACAGTGAGATCGAATTCGTTTTATCGTTCAGTTCCAAAAAATATTTTATACGTGTCATTCATTTAATTTTGAGTTATTATTATTATTATTTTTTTTTTTTAATTAAGCACTCCACGAAGGAACATGATGAGTCGTCGGTTAAATTGCAGCCGCAGCCGTTCGTCGTTTCCCGATAAACGCGCCGGTGACGCGAGTAACGAGTGAAAAGGCGCGCGAGAAAAATGAAAGCGTAAATTACGGAAAACGAAAGTGTAAATCGTCGGCTTGCCGTCGCGCCCGTCGTTTTATTTATTTAATTTATTTTTATTTATTTATTTTTTTTTTTTCGAGTTCGTTCACACGCATGGTCGTGCGAACGAGAAGATTTCGGCGCGTTGGTTGCCACGCGTATTGGAGCGCGCGAGAACGTCCACGTGTATTCGGGCGCGCAATATTATACACATATTAAATTCGATGAACGACGGATGCATGTACCAGGGTGTGCCGCACAGACATTAATTCCGATTTTGTCCACGGGGACATCG